AAGGATAGAGAGATGAGAGGAGAGAGGAGTAAGGAGGAGGTGGGAGAGGGAGACGGGAGAGAGAAGAGACGAAAAAAGTCAGAGAGACGAGAAGAGAGAAAAAGGAAAGAGAGGAGCAGAAGAGGAAAAAGGACTTAGACGAGAGGAAGAGAGAGAGAGAAAAGAGAGAGATGAGAGAGAGAGAGAGAGAGAGAAAAGGAAAGGAGAGAGAGAGAGAGAGAAAGGGAGGAGGAGAGAGAGAGAGAGAGAGGAGAGAGAGAGAGAGAGAGAGGAGAGAGAGAGAGAGAGAGAGAGAGAGAGAGAGACGAGAGAGAGAGCAAGAGATGAGAGAGAGAGGAGGAGAGAGAGAGAGAGAGAGAGAGAGAGAGAGAGAGAGAAGAGAAGGAGAGAGGAGAAAAGGAGACAGAGAGAGAGAGGTGGGGAACAGAGAGAGAGAGGAAGAGCAAAAGAAGGAGAGAGGAGATGAGAGAAGAAGAGAAAGAAAAAAGGAAGAAGAGAGAACGAGAGAAATAGCGAGAGAGATGAGAGCGAGAGGGAGAAAAAAGGATATGAGACGAGAGAGGAGGAAAAGGAGAGAGAGAGGGAGAAAAGGAGAGAGAGAGGAAGAGAGAAAGAGGGAGAAAAGGAGAGAGAGAGACAGAGAGTGAGAAAGAAAAGGAGGAGAGGAGAGAGAGAGAGAGAGCCGAGAGAGAGGACAGAGAGAGAGAGATGAGTGAATGCGAGAGGAGAACAGAGTAGTGAGAGAGACGAGAAGGAGGAGAGGAGAGAGGAGAGGAGAGAGAGGAGAATGAGAGGTAGAAGAGAGAAGAAGAGAGAGAGGGAAAGAGTGTGGATGAGAGAGGAAAGAGGAGAGATTAGAAAAGGATCGGAGAAGATAGAAAAGGAGAGAGAGGGGAAGAAGAGGACCGAGGAGAGAGAGAGAGAGAGAGAGGAGAGAGAGAGACGAGAGAGGGAGAGAGACCGAGAGAGACAGAACAGGAGAGCAGAGACAGACAGAGAGGACAGAGACCAGACAGAGAGACAGAGACAGACAGACAGACAGAGAGACGACAGAGACAGGGACAGACACAGACAGACCAGACTCAGAAGGACAGACAGACAGGACAGACAGACAGACAGACAGACAGACAGACAGACAGAGAACGCAGAGAAAGACAGAGAAAGGCTTGAAAGAGAGAGACTTGCTTTCGTGACTTTTACAGAGACCAGAGACAGCTCGCCCGAGAGAGAGAGAGAGAAAAACAAGCGGACAGAGAGAGAGAGAAAAAAAACAGCACGGACAGAGAGAAAAAACACAGCGCAACAGAGAGAGAAAAACAAGTGACAGAGAGAGAGAAAAAAAACACAGCCGACAGAGAGAGCGAGAGAAAAACACAGCGACAGCAGAAAGAGAGCAAAAAAACACAGCAACAGAGAGAGAGCGAAAACACAGCGACAGATGAGAGACGAGAAAAACACATCGACCAGAGAGAGAAGAGAAAAACACAGCGACAGAGCAGAGAGAGAAAAAACACAGCAGACAGCCAGAGGAGGGAGAGAAAAAACAGCGACAGAGAGAGAGACGAGAAAAACAGCGAACAGAGAGGAGAGAGAGAAAAAAAAAAACAGCAGACAGAGAGAGACTAGAAAAAAAACAGCGACAGAGAGAAAAACACAGCAACAGAGAGAGAGAGAAAAACACAGTGACAGAGAGAGAGAAAAAAACACAGCGAACAGAAGAGAGAGAAAAAAATCACAGCGACAGAGAGAGAGAGAAAAACACAGCCACAGAGAGAGAGAGAAAAACACAGCGACAGAGAGGGAGAGACAATCACAGCGATGAGGAGAGGGAGAGACAAACACAGCGACAGGATAGGGAGAGACCAAACACAGCGACAGAGACGAGAGAGAAAAACACCAGCGACAAGAGAGAGAGAGAAAAACACAGCACAGAGGAGAGAGAGAAAAAACACAGCCGACAGAAGAGAGAGAGGAAAAACCACAGCGACAGAGAGAGAGAGAAAAACACAGCGACAGAGAGAGAGGAGAAAAACACAGTGACGATGAGAGAGAGAAAAAACACGAGCGACAGAGGAGAGAAAAAACACCAGCGACAGAGAGAGAAGGAAGAAAAAAAAACCCACACAGCGACAGAGAGAGAAAAACACAGCGACAGAGAGAGAAAAAACCACCAGCGACGAGAGGCAGAGAGAGAGAAAAACACAGCGACAGAGAGAGAGAGAAAAACACAGCGACAGAGAGAGAGAGAAAAACACAGCGACAAGAGAGAGAGAAAAACACAGTGACAGGAGACAGAGAGAGAGAAAAAAAACACAGCGAAGAGAGAGGAAAAACACAGGACAGAGTAGAGAGAGAGAGATGAGAAACACAACGCGACAGAGTTGAGAGAGAGGAGGAGAAACACCCCACAGACAGAGTGAGAGAAAGAGGAAACAACACAGCGACAGAGTGAGAGAGAGAGAAAAAAACACATGCAGACAGAGAGAGATGAGAGAGAAAAACACAGCGACAGATGTGAGAGGAGAGAAAAAACACAGCGACAGAGAGATGAGAGAGAGTGAAAAACACAGCCGACAGAGAGAGAGAGAAAAAACCACAGCGACAGAGTGACGAGAGAAAAACACAGCGACAGAGAGAGAGAGAGAGAAAAACACAGCGGACAGAGAGGAGAGAGAAAAAAAACCGCGACAGATGAGAGAGAAAAACACAGCGACAGAGTGAGGAGAGAAACACTAGCGACAGTAAGTGAGAGAGAAAAACAGCGACAGAGAAGAGAGAGAAAAAACACAGCGGCAGATGAGAGAGAGAAAAAACACAGCGACAGAGAGAGAAAAAACACAGCGACAGAGAGAGAAAACACAGCGACACGAGAGAGAAAAACATAGTGCGACACGGACGAGATGAGAAAAACACCAGCGACAGAGAGAGAGAATACAACACAGCCGGACAGAGAGAGAGAGAAAACACAGCGACAGAAGAGAGAGAGAAAAACACAGTGACATGAAGAGCAGAGAAAAAAACACAGGTGACAGAGAGACGTAGAAAAAAACCACAGCGACAGAAGATTAGAGAGAGAGTAAAAACACCGACAGAGAGAGAAAAAACACAAGCGACAGAGAGAGAAACACAGCGACAGAGAGAGAAAAACACAGCGACAGAGAGACAGAGAGAGAGAAAAACACAGCCGGACAGAGAGAGAGAGAGAAAAACACAGCGACAGAGAGAGAGAGAAAAAACACAGCGAACAGATGAGAGAGAAGAGGAAAACACAGTGACAGAGAGAGAGATGAGAGAAAAACACAGTGGACAGAGATGAGAGAGAGAGAGAAACACAGCAGACAGAGAGAGAGAGAGCGAAAACACAGGCGACAGAGAGAAGAAGAGAAAAACACAGTGCACAGAGACGAGAGAGAGAAAAACACAGCCGACAGGAGAGAGAGAAAAAAACACCAGCGACAAAAGGAGAAGAGAGAGAAAGCACAGCAACAGAGAGAGAGTAAAACACAGCGTACAGAGACGAGAGAAAAAAACACAGCGACAGAGAGAGAAGAAAACACAGCGACAGAGAAGAAGAGACGAGAGAAAAACAAGCAACGAGAGAATGAGAAAACCACAGCGACTCAGAGAGAGAAAACACACAGCGACAGACGGAGAGAGAAAAGGACAGCGGACAAGAGAGAAGAGAAAAAAAAAAACCAGCGACCAGAGAGAGAGAGAAAACACAGCGACAGCGAGATGAGGAGAAAAAACAACAGCCCGACCAGGGAGAGAGAGAAAAACACAGCGACAGGGAGAGAGAGAAAAACACAGCGACAGAGAGAGAGAGAGAAAAAAACACCAGCAACAGAGGAAGGAGGAGAGACAAACAACACAAGCGACAGAGAGATGAGAAAAACACAGCGACAGAGAGATCAGAAAACACAGCGACCAGAGAGAGAGCAAAAGGACACAGGACAGAGAGAGAGAAAAAGAAGCGAGAGAGAGAGAGAAAAGGACAGCGACGACGAGAAAAAAATGACAAGTGACAGAGAGAGGAGAGAAAAAGACAGTGACAGAGAGAGAGAAAAAGACAGCGACAGAGAAGAGATGAAAAAAGACAGCGACGAGAGGAGAGAGAAAAAGACAGTGACAGACATAAAAATACGCCTTGAGAGAGCGAGAAGAGAGCGACGCGAGGTGAAGAAAAACAGAGAGAGAGAAAAAAAACACAGCGACAGAGAGAGAGGAGAGAAAAACACAGCGACAGAGATGGAAGAGAGAGAATGAGATCGAGACAAAAACACAGCGACAGAGAGAGAAGAGAGATGAGAGAGAAACACACCAGCGACAGCGAGAGAGAGAAGAGAGAGAGAAAAACACAGCGACAGAGGAGGAGGAGAGAGGAGAGAAGAAAAAACCACAGCGACCAGAGAGAGAGAGAGAGAGAGAGAAAAAACACAGCGAACAGAGAAGAGAGAGAGAGAAAAAACCCACTCAGCGACAGAGAGAGAGAGAGAAAAAAACACATGCGACAGAACGCAGACGAGATGAGAAAAAAACACAGCGACAGAAGAGACGAGAAGAAAAAACACCAGCGACAGAGAGAGAGGAGAGAAAAAAACACCAGCGACCAGAGAAGGAGAGAGGAAAAAACACCAAGCTACAGAGACGGAGAAGGAAGAAAAAATCACGGGGGGGGCCCCTGCCGACCGCCCCCACCCCCGGGGGGAGGGGTGGGGCGGAGGGGGCGAACCAACCCCCCAACCATTCGAGGGCCGGGGGCGGCGGCGCGGTGGCGG